CCGAGCCGTGCCCGACTCTGCTCGGACCGACTGGCGCCACACCACATCAGACGCTCCTCTGAAAGCCCCTGCGGCCCAGTATCGACGGGGGTGTTGCCGCTCCCAGTCCAGGGCATGGGGCCGCCTGAGGCGGCCCCACACCCTGTGCCAAGAGCAGAACACCCCTATCGGCCTGAGGCCGCCCGTCGGCTTGCTGAGGAGGGCGATCAGGACAGCTGAAACCTGTCGAGGCAGCACTCCTACCGACTCCATCAACTCAAAAAGCATGGCCAAGGCAGTGAGACCGTCGTCGCACAGCAAGTGGTAGTGCCTGCAGTCAAATCCGTCATAAGTGATAGCTGAGCCCGCCTTGTATCGCTTGGACACGGCTCGCAACTGGTCAGGAGTGGCCCGAGGAAACGCTTGCACGAGCGTCGCACGCTTGGCCTCACCAGAGGCCTGGCCCCAGAAACTACTGAACTTGTCCCCCTCTTTAGAGAGCAACGACATCGGGTCAGCCACCGCCGAGCCATCCGCCGCCAACGTCGTCGTCGGCCTCCAGGGCGACGGGTCTTTGGTGATGGAGTGGACCCTTTTGGCTCCCTTGTCCAGGCCAGCCGTCAGCCAGGAACGCCAATCCGCATTGGACCTAGCTCGATAACGCGAATCCGCCTCGGCCAGGGCCGTCTTGAGACCCTCAAGCTGCGCCTCACCAAGAGCAATCACCTCCATCGTCCATTGGGATGGGGGATGCTGTTGCACAGAGCGCTTGATACAATCAAACGAGCTCTGGTGCTCCGCCGTGTGGCCTGAGACAGAGGCAGGCCAGCAAAGAAGAGAGGCATGGATGGCCTGCGCCTGCGCAGACAGACCTCGGTCGTCCCTGCGCAGTGAGACCAGACTACGAAACTGAGCCCCCAGCCACTTGATGGCCCTGTGGGCAGGATACCTTGGCTTGCTGTCCCGTCCCACCACCGATCTCCACATGAGCTGAGGCCCCGCGCTCCTCGTCCCCTTCCTGATCAAGTCGGCACCTAAGAGGGGAATCAGCTCAACCTCAGCAACATCAGCCCAGGCACCGTAGCCCAGGGTGAGGAGGCTCGCCGCCCGAGCGCCGTTCCCACGTTCAACCTCTCGAAGACCCTCCTGGGCCATGTCCAGGACCTGATTCCAATCCTGCTGCTGGGGCTTGGGGCCAAACACAGGATCCGAGGGGAACGGGGGAGGCTTTCGGAAACTTAAAGCTTTCAGCGAAGCCGGCGCGGGGTGGAACTTGAGATCGACTGGGCGGTGCGGGCTCAGTTCCGTACTCATCACGACGTCACAAGAAGCAGCTGCCTTGCCTAGGTACACACAAAATAGTCAATCTTGGACGGGGCTCCGTCCCCGAAGAAGGTGCAGCCGTCTGGGTCGATCAGCTGGCCCTGCAACTCAGAGACAAACTTGGAGGAGGCAAGGTTCGAGGGGGGAAGGTTGAAATTCCCTCCCAAAACAAACGAGCCAGAGAACCCCGAGCATCTCACCCCTAAGGAGGCCAACGCGTCCAAGTTTCGCTCCGACAGACCCTCACTGTTGTGCAGATAAACGCTCCCGATCCTGAAGGTGAAGCCCCCTGGGGCCTGGACATCGGCCACCATCGCGTGACCTTTGACAACTACAAACCCTTCCGCAGGAGCTATGAGGCCGAGCCAATCACGAACAAGCACGGCGACACCTCTTGAGGTGTCGGAGTCGGTCTCGCAGGCAGGGCACCAGAGAGATTTCCAACCATTTCGAGCGCACCACTGAGACGCCTCGTAAAGCCTCTCAGCGCGGAGCAGACGATGCTCTTGCACCAACACAATGTTGGCAGGCGTGTCAGGCAAAAGCTTCTTGAGCGTGCCCCACGAGTTCACATTCATACTGCGAATCACCAGCTGCACCGAGCTCAGACCGTCAGACCCCTGGACCAGGCCAGGAGAAGGAGGAGTGAGGCACGGCACAGGAGGGGGAGGGATCCTGGAGCCAGGCACCATCTCCACAGGGCTGCCCGCGCCTGGAAAGCCCAGGACGGGGTAATAAGAGGTTCTGTGTCCAAAACTGGCCAGTTTACATGGGGAGTCAGCTGGCAGGGAAGTGTGGGTCGTCCGTCCTCCATTCAAAATTCGCACAGCCCTCCAGAGCGTGTGGCGCACAGCCGCTAACAAGCCTCGGAACCGACTTGTTGGCCGCGACACACCATTCATGTCAGGGGGGGGGGCGACGGAAGAACGGCCGACAGGCCACATAATACGAGTTAGATTTGTCAGCAAAAAGATGAGCAGGGTTCGCGGCGGCCCTGCTCTGCTCAAGGCCGTTTTTCAAAACCGCTTCGGGCGCGACGTGGGGAGGAGGGACGAGGGACTCCGCCGTTGGGCCTTCCAAGTGATGAGGCTCGCAAGGAGGATCCCAGAAGCAGGTGGGGCCAACAAGGCCCTGGCCCGAGTGAAAAAACCTGCTGGTAGCTGGGCCTGGCGAGGCGGTCAGGTCAGCATGTCCAGAACGAAGCTGAAGAGCATGTTGTTGCTGAAGTAGAATCCCCCCTTCACGCCGACGCGCCTGAAGGGGGGGAAGCTTGTTGAAGCGCGCGGCGAGCTCGGGCACGAACGTCCTCGGCATCAGCAGGGTCCGCGGCCGCGACTCCAGGAGCAGCGGCTGGCTGCCCAGCAGGCTCACCACCGCCAGGGGGGGCACCAGGCGCCACCTCTGGCTCTGCTGCACTCTTGCCGTCATCTGCTGCTGCCTCTTCTGCCGCTGCTGCTCCGTCTCCTCCTTCAGCGACGCGCCGACGTTTGCCCGCCAGGCGCTCCAATTGCTTCTTCTGCTCCTCGCGGAACTTGGCGGCCTGCTCAGCCGCTGCTCCGAACAGCTGCTGCACTTGCTGCAAGATCGACTGCTGCAACGTCTTGAGCCGAGTCTCGGCCTCTTTCTTGTCATCAGGTGAGAGGTCGTACTCAGCCTCGGGTGCCAGCAGCGAGTCCAAGTTGATGGGCAGCTCTTTGCCCTGGAGAATGTCCTCAATCGGAATCGAAGGTGTAGGCGTCGGCTGTTCACCAGCAGCGTCTCCGCCCACGTGCCCGGCCAGCTGCTGAACGAGTCCTTTGTGATGTTGCTCAGCCTTTGAGAGATCGTCCGTGAGAGACTGAACCACCTCGCGCTGGGCGTCCAAGTCTTTCTGGAGCCTCTCGACGTATGTGACCGCTTTGTTGAGCTTGCCCTCCAGGGCACGCATATCATGAAAGGCCTTGCCCACCTGCTGCTGGAGGGGGGTTCGACCTTCCGCACAACGTGCTTGGAGTCCAAGATCTTCTGGTACTTGGCAGCGCCGTCGGAGTCGCCCACCGAGTGCATGTAGGCGATGACCTCACATAGCTTGGCAGACTCCGCGACGGCTCCTGCTCCCCCAGGACGTGGCAGTGAACTTCCTGACTGCTGGAACAACGGGCCTGGCTGCACAGGAAGCGTAGCAGACCAAGAACCAGGAGGAGGAAGAGCACCTTGGGGCCCTGCCAGCTGCGGCTGTCCCTGTCAGACCCCCTGCGGCGAAGGGTGCATGTCGAAGGACGGCGAGCTGCGCCAGGCCCAGCAGTGCTTACATTGCTGCCACTGCTGCTTGGTCTTCTTGCATCCGCACTGAGAGCACTTCCAAGTCGAAGGAGTATCCCCGCGGTGCTGGTGGACCGTGCGTTCGGGAACTTGCCACGGCCAGCCATCATTCCAGCGCGCGGAGCGAGAGGCTGTCGGGGCCATGCTAGCTCTGGGACGGCGGAAATCTTGTTGCCTCGCAAAAGATTGGCTCGCAGGAACGCGAGCCCCTTTGAAGAACAGTTCCTGCAACGCTACTCGAGCGCAAAAGGGCTGTAACTTGAGCCAAAATGGCTACGGAGAGGAGGAGGAGGAGGAGGAGGAGGAGGAGGAGGAGGAGGAGGAGGAGGAGGAGGAGGAGGAGGAGGGGAGGAGGAGGAGGGGGGTAGGGAGAGGAGGAGGAGGAGGGAGAGGGAGAGAGGGAGAGGGAGAGGGGGAGGGGGAGGAGAGAGCGCGAGCGGGAGCGGGAGCGGGAGCGGGAGGGAGAGGAGGGAGGAGGAGGAGGAGGAGGAGGAGGGGAGGAGGAGGAGGAGGAGGAGGAGGAGGAGGAGGAGGAGGAGGAGGAGGAGGAGGAGGAGGAGGAGGAGGAGGAGGAGGGAGGAGGAGGAGGAGGAGGAGGGGAGGGGAGGAGGAGGAGGAGGAGGAGGAGGAGGAGGAGGAGGAGGAGGGGGAGGGGGAGGAGGAGGAGGAGGAGGGGGAGGCGGAGGAGGAGGAGGAGGAGGAGGAGGAGGAGGAGAGGAGGAGGAGGATGAGGAGCAGGTGGAGGAAGAGGAGGAAAAAGAGACGGAGGATAAGGAGGACGAGTGGGAGGATGAGGATGATGATGATGCTGCTGATGATGATGAGGAGGAGGAGGAGGAGGAGGAGGAACATGAGAAGGAGGAAATGGAGGAGGAGGAGGAGGTGGAGGGTGATTGTCAGGATGAGGAGCAGGAGGAGGAGGAGAAGGAGGACGATAATGAAAGTGCGAGAAATTGTTGGAGTATTCTTAATACTTCTATGTGTAATGATACGAATGATTTTTCTAATGAGAGTAGTAATCGTCAGAAGAAAAATACGACTACTACAGAGTAGAAGAGGGCACAGCGGAATAATACTAAGAATGCGATTGTTAAGATTAGTAAGAAGACTATTACGAATATTACTGATACTAGCAATGCTAATAGAAGGAGGAGGCGGAGACAAGGATGATGATGATGAGGAGGAGGAGCAGGAAAAAGAGGAGGAGGAGGAAGATGAGGAGGAAAAGGAGGAGGAGGAGAAAAGCGAGGACGAGGACAAGCAGGACGAGGAGGACGAGGAAGACCAGGAGGATGGGGAGGGGAGGAGGACGACGAGTAGGATTTTAATGAGGCGACGTCGGGGGATTCGCAGCGCGCGTGGCTGCAGTTGCTGCCGCTGTTTAGCCCCGCTGTCAGGACTTGCACAACGGCATGTACGTGAATCTAGGCCTGGGTACCGTGCAAAACTGCTTCTCCTCCTCCTCCTCCTCCTCCTCCTCCTCATCATCATCATCATCATCTTCCTCCTTATCTTCCTCCTCCTCTGCTACTGGCGCTCCTCCTCTTCCTGTTCCCTCTCTCCTTCATCTCCTCGGTGCATTTTGGTTCAAGATCGTCGCCGCAGGCCCCGCTGCCCTCGCTCCGATGCCGGCTACGCTGGATGCCCTCCGTGCGCGCTTGTCGCAGTGCGCACTCCGAGGCGCGCTCCTTGCGACGCACGCCGCGACAGGGTTCACGGGCGAGCACCGCGCGGCCCAACACCTCGCGCGCGCCGTCGAGGGCCTCCTGCGGGCCGTCCTCGCTGGCCTGGCGGCGCCACCCGCCCCCCCCCTGGCGCCCCCCAGGGAGGCGGCCCCGCCCGCTGCTGCCTCTCGGCTGCGGCGGCGCCGCCCGCGCAGGCGAGGCGGAGATGCGGGGGCGGGAACGGCGGAGCTGGAGACGGCGATGGTGGTGGACGCGGAGGTTGGGGCTGTTGAGGCGGCGGCGGCAGCGGGGGTCGCCGACGTCGGCCAGGAGGTGCCGACCGACGGCTGGGCCGACGACCTCCCGATCGTGCGGAGGGTCGGCCGTGGCGCGGGCGGCACGGGATGGCAAAAGGGCGAGGACAAGGACAGGAGCGACATCCGGCCCGACGAGTTGAAGGCGGGTGCGCGGGTGCGCGTTGCGGACGGTCCCCGGGCTGGCCGCGAGGGCGCCATCACCCGTGACGGCTCCAACCTCGCAGGTGCGAGGCTCGACGCCAGGGGCAATGGCAGAAACAGGGGCCGCGCCGTGGACGTCGGCATCGCCTTCCTGCTGCTTGCCGAGCCCGCTGCCGCGGCGGCGCCAGGCTCCGGAGCTCGTGGTCGGCATCGTGAAGCCTGTCCTCGTTCTCGTCTGAGCTTGCTGGCCACCAATTCACGTTTTACCCTGGGGCCCTCGAGGGGAAAAGTCTCCTCCTGCTTATCCTCCTCCTCCTCCTCGTCCTCCCTCCTCCTCCTTCTCCTCCTCATCCTCCTTCTCCTCCCTCCTGCCTCATATTAGCCCTTCTGGCTCCAGCCAATTTGGAGGAGCTTGTCGGCAGCGAACTTCAGAAGGGCGTTGCTGTCGCGAGTCACTTTGGCTCGGCCCGTCTCGGCGCGCGCGCATGGCCCCCGCGCCCTGGCAGAGCCGCCCAGCACCCCACCGCCATGTCAAGTGGAGGTGCGGTTCCTGTGGATGTGCGCGCAACTTGGGCTGGATGTGGCAGTGCAAGCACTGCAAAGCTCAATGGAACGGCGCCACATGCTCGGAGGTCGACCCGCTGCGCCCCGCAGCTCAAGAAGGTGCTGGCGCTCGTCATCACTACGCTGGTGACCCTCGCGGCGCTCCGGTTCCTCCAGGTCCCGTCGGTGGAGGTGGTGGAGCGGGCTCTGAGGGCATCAACACCAAGGGCCTCTGCGCGGATGACCTGCAGCAGCTGGCCGCCATCGCCACACGCCAAGGGCAATTGGAGCTGGCCAAGCAGTACGACTACGCTCGGGCGAAGCTTCTCCAGCCATCTCGCCAGCAGGTGGCCTCGCTCCACACCCGTGCTTCGCAGGCCCAGAGCAAGATACGTCAGGTGGAGAAGAAGCTCGACAAGGAGATCTCGAAGCTGGAGCGCTGGCGCGAGGCGACCGTCATGCTCGAGTCTTCCATCCAGGAGATGGCCGATGAGCTGGACGGCTTTGAGAGGCAGTATTCGGAGCTCGTCGAGCAGATCAGCTTGGAGGTGGCCTCGTCGGTGCCGCCCAAGCAGTCTTCTGGCCCGACCCTCAGCCTGCGCGACCTGGTGGAGGGCAAGGAGCTCAGCTTCGAGCTCGTCGATGACCTGTGCGCGAACATGCCAGAGGAGTTCGAGATGTCCGCGGAGGATAAGGAGCAGCTGGAGGCGCGCAAGGCCCAGTTGCGCTCGGGCCTCAAGGACATGGCGAAGCAGCTCTTCGGCAAGGCTTCGTCGCACCTGGAGGCTGCTCACCGTGAGCATCAGGAGCATCTCAAGAGGTTGTCCAAGAAGACGAGGAGGACCGCGGAGGGCGACACGCCAGGTGGCGGTGAAGGTGCTGGAGAACCTGGCCAAGGAGCTGGCGCTGCAGCGCCAGGCGGCGCTGAGCGGGCAACTTCTGAGGCTGGAGGTGGAGCCCCAGCCGCCTCACCTGGAGGCGCTTCGAGCTCGTCGCGGCCTTCGGGTGCCGACCCTGCTCTCCGCGCCAGGCTCTCGAAGGTACTCTCATCTTCTGACTCTTCTTTTCGCTCCCCCGCCCCCGACGGCGGTGGGGGCGGGGGTAGTGGCTGCTGAAGGTGAGGGGCCTATCCCCTCGAGCTCCTGCGTCGGCTCCCCGCCTGGCCCGCCCCCTGACTCGCGTGAGTGTAGTTGTTTGTCGGATTGGGGAAGGGTGGGAGTCCAATTTTGATGGAGCCAACTTTAGTTCTAGCTTTAGTCATCATCTCTCGGGCCCAGGAGTCCCAGGCCCAGGGTCCAGGCCAGGCGAAGACACTCTCGGAATGGTAATCGCCACGGCTAACTGCAACAGCTGGGGCTCGCTTCGTGATTGGCTTCCGTCGGCGGAGACCCCCCACGTCATCTTTGTTCAGGAGCACCACTTGGCGGATCAAGATTCGATGGGTCGTGCTTCGAAGTTTTGTCTCGATCATGGGTGGAAGAGCCTGTGGGAGCCTGCAGTTCGGACGGCTGAAGGAGGCACGTCAGGTGGCGTTGCGATCCTTGCCAGGGCCTTCATGGGGCGCCACCAACCTCTGCAGATCTTTCAAGGCCGTGCTCTGGGTGCTGTTGCTCATCTCCCAGGGGGCGTTCAGTTTGGGCTCGTCTGTGTCTACGGGTTCGACGCGGAGGGCCTCGCGGCCAGGCAGTTGGAGCTCTATAAGGCTATGGGCTCCCATGTGGTTCTCGAAGGCCTCTCGTACGACGTTGGGGGCGACTTCAACCCCGAGCCCCCCGAGCTTCGAGATACGGGTTTTCTGGTGCTGGCTAGGTGCGAACTTATCTCGGCTGGAGCGCCCACATTTTTCGGCGCTCGTCAGTCGGACTACGATTACTTCCTCGTTTCTGGAGGCTTGGCCAGGGGTGTGAAGCAAGTGCAGCGATGCGGAGATAGTGAGTTCTCGCCGCACTTCGTGGTGGAGCTGGAGTTCTACCCTGCCCTCTGCCGCCTGCAGGCCCTGGGTTTCCGCAAGCCCCCCCCCCCCTCCCCGTGGACGCCCCTGCGGGTGCCCCCCCCCCCCCCCCCAGGTGACTTCGGAAGGGCCCGCAGGTTCCTCGAGTGGGGAGAGAATGCCTTGAGGTCCCAGGATGCCAGCGAGGACCAGCGTCTTCTGAGCAAGACCTACCAGATCTGGGCCAATGAGTCCGAGGGAGAGCTTTGTCAGAGGCTGGAGGAGGAGCTCCCCTGCCGTGGTTCGAGGGACAAGGGCCCCCCAGGTTTGTTGGAAACCGATCCTTCAGAAAGATGTCAAAGCTAGGCGGTGCCCAGGGCTTCGAGCCATGATGTGGTTTTGTTCTAGGTTCCGCGCTGCTGCCCAGCGTTTACCTGCAGTCTGGGCTGGTCAAGCCTCGACTTGCACCAGGCGCGCCGTTGGCGAGCTGCTGACGGGCGTGCTCCAGTCCGAGTGGGTCCCTGGTCAGCTGACCCACCAGGGCAACATTTCTCTGTTGCAGGACATCAGGGACCCGCTCAAGGACTGGGATGGTTTTAACCCTCTTCCCCGCGTTGAGCTGGGTGCTTTTGTTTTGAAAAACGTGGTCTCAGGACGCGCCTCCCCCGCCCCTTGCGAGGGCGAGTGCGGGGGTGGCCCCTCGCATGTTGCCGGGGGGCCTTCTGACCAGCTGGCTGAGAGGCTTGCTAGGCTGGAGGCCCTTCTCGCTCGCCAGAAGGAGGTTCTCGCTGCTTGCACGAAGCACTACCAGCGCACGGCTGGTCAGGACTGGCACGCTTGGTTGACGGATGAACTTAGTCAGGGAGCCCGCAATGCCCATTGTGCGATTAAAGACCCCCTGTGCTGGAAGCCCACTACTACCCTCTCGTCGGAGGTCCAAGTCGTGTCTGATCCCCAGCAGTTGCTTGACGCTGAGGTCAAAACGTACTCGGGCCTCTGACAGGTCCGTGTTTCGCCCCCGAAGCGCAGGTGCAGAAATTCTGAGCCCCCCCCCCCCTGGATGTGGAGTTCCTTCGGAAGCTGAGCAGGAAGTATCCTAAGAGGAGTGCTGTGTCCTACGACGGCTTTCACTTGAGGCATTTTCAGCACCTCAGTGATGCCAGCCTGGAGGTGCTTAGCTTGATCCTCTCGCTCGCTGAGCGCTCGGGCATTCTTCCGACCCAGCTCTCGACAGTGCTGGTGGCTTTGTTGGCCAAGGAGAAGGGGGGTTTTCGGCCGATCGGCATTTCCCCCTCGGTGTACCGCCTCTGGGGGCGGGCCCGCAGGCCCCTGGCTGAGGCATGAGAAACGTTTTTTTTTTTTTTTTTTCCAGAGACTATTGGGCCGCTGGATGGCACAGAGGGGCTATGGATTGTGCGTAGCGCCAAGCCTTTAGGTCGGAAGCTGGTGTCAGACGAGGTGTTTGCTCAGCCACTGTTCTGTGGGACATGTATAAGTACTATGAGCTGATTGACCTCGAGGCCTTGGAACTTAGAGGTCGCAGGCATCAGTTTCCTGTGGGGGTCCTGCATATGTGTCTGGCCGCATAGATGTCGGCACGATACATCTGCCTCTCTGACATCATCTCTGGCCCTCTGAGGGCCACTCACGGCATTATCGCGGGCTGCAGCATGGCCACATCTCTCATCCGTGTCCATGCCCTCGATGCCTTCGACACCGTTCCTCGTTCGCTCAGCCTGCGCCGCATCGATCGGGAGTCCTCGGAGTTTTCCTCTTTCGACGCCGACATCGATGACACCAGCATCTCGGCTATCGGTTCCAGGTCCTTCGTTA